TGCAATCAGTGACCTAACCTTTGCTTCCTCTGTCTCAGCACTCTCCTAAACATAAAGCGCAGCACGAGCACCATTAAAAAACAGTGGAGTTGACTCTCTATTGAGAGTTGATCAGTTTTTTCCAAGCATTCTTACATATTCATTGAGAGATGTGCAGTCTGGAGATGTGCTGCCCTCTTGTGGTGTAAAGACACGTTAATACCATTTCTGCATAATTCTTTAAGAGATATGAGCTGTGGCTACTTGTTATGTAGGAGTGTAGGAATGCTTAAAAAATGAAGTCTGGTAGGCTGGTTGAACCTGACCTTTCTAGGAGGATCTAGATTTGCTTTGCATGTTTCTACACGAGTCGAGTAATCAAACACTGTTTCCCACGTTTCAGGATTTTCCTTACTTTAAACTAGACTAAACTAGCAAGTTTTGAATCACACAAATCTAAAAAGGTGAAAAAAAATGAATGTGGAAAAAAAATTGAGATTTCTAGTATTTCCCCTTCAGTTGCTTTGAACTACAGGCAGTAAATAATTACATCTTGGGTGATAACCCACAACTCCTTGCTGCCATCCAAATGCACATAAATCCTAACAACTGCTACAATGTAAAACATTCAGTTTCTGGTGATTATTTATACCACAATCCCCAATCATACATGTTTAAATGTGTGCTTTTCCACTATTTAATGATGATATTTCATCGAACAGCAACGCTTAATTGAAATCTATCAGTATTCAGCTGTGGATTTTGAGGTGGGCACATCTCTGTGTAAAATGTTTTCTTCGAGAATCTGCTGGCTTTTGTTTTACTCAATTGTTCTCACAAGAAGTAATTATTTTATTTCTTTGCTACTGCCTGCAAAAACACGTCCAAAGCATGCTTGATTCATTCACACTTAGGGCCTGTGACAGAGGATGGAAATTTCCACCATCTGGCCTTTCCAGGTTTAATCAAGACAGTGAGCAAACCCAGCAACTGTTAGTGTAGATTATAGTTGGTGGTGGCTAAAAAATAAAAAAATATACATATTTTGCAGCTTTTGTTCAAACGTAGGTTGTTGGTAGTCGTCATCTACAATACAAACTTTTAAAAGCTCATCGATTTATGTAAATGGTCCTATTGGAATTTGTATTGTAATGTTTTCGTAGAGCACATTCATCATTTCATTCTGTTCATCGTGTCAACAGAACTTTAACACAGGAGCGTCCGATTTTTGGCGTCCTGCGACCGCAGTTCAAGGATGGTACAGATTTGGCTCTCCGCACAGATGCCTGCTGACTGACACTTTGTAGACTGAAAATTTTACTTATGTGAGGCCTTCAAAGCTAGATGCAGTAAAATCTTTAACCTCTCTAAAAGTGGAAAAATATACTTTTTTAATGTATTTTTTTTGCGGCACTAGAGCCCTTTTTTTTTTATTTTTTTCCGACAGTAGGCAGAGAGAGGGGGAAGACATTCGGTGAAGGTCTTCGGGGACTGTAGCCTTCGATGACTGTAGCATCTATATATGGGTCACGTGCTTAACGGGTTTGGGTAAAAGTGAAAAAATAGACTTTTACCCAAAAGCCTAGTTGGGTGCACCTTAAACCATTTAAGCAAAACAAAATAAACAGTATCAGCCACCCAGAAATAAAATAAATAAATAGTATTGGCAATAGAAAATGCCTATCGGTTGAACTCTAACTACAGCTGCTGCTCTCGGGCAGTGAAGGTCACATCGACAACCCGCACTTTATAGTAGCTTAAATTTTTGTGCCATCCAGAGTTCTGGAAAGATGTCTGGTATTTTATCAAATCGATCCAAAACTGCGCTCACGTTAGCTGTCAAATGGAATAGATAACTCATGTGCTATTTTGAATGTAATCTTGAATCTTTGTAACACAAAGAAGAGGCCCAATGAAGAATTCATGTCTGCCACTGACATTTCTGGGCCATCTAGTTCCTGTTGCACAACTTTAGATAGAATAGCTCTGTTAACAGCTTTCAGAAATTCTCCAAAAATATCAATCCCTTCATCTTTTCTGTTTGCATTCAGGGGTGAAACTGCACAGCCAGAGAGAGATCGTCACCAACATCAGCGGAGAGACGTTCACTAAGCAAGACTGAAAAGGACACGTGCGGTTAAAGACACGCTCACGTTGCTGCCTTTAGACTTCAGAATGACAGGCGCCAAGTTGAAGCCCGCATGCGGAAAGCAGCACTTCCTCCATTTGTACATCACTCTATTTGTTTTCCTTCCAGCACAAGAAGTAACAACGCTTCCTGTGAGCTCCTTCTGCAGACTCCCAGACCAGAACAATGACGAGATGAGAACACAATAAAGTGCATCAGGGAGTGTCGGAGGAGATGGAGCATTATCACGCAAACACAGTCAGACATGAGGCTATATGCAAACACAGAGATGGATACAGATGTAGATGGAGACGCTCTGGTTAGACAAGCCTACATTCAGGCAGAGGCTAAAGCAGAAATAAATCGAGCATTAGAGATGCAGAAAAATGCTGAGTAATACTTTAAACAACTAAATATCAGCTTCTTGTTAGAAGACTAATAGACTACTTTTGAGAGTACGCATTTTACCTTTTTAACATTTTGTCACCCTGCACCCAATTCAATGGATTTGAGTTGAATTTTATGTGGTGGACCGACAAAACATAAATGTGAAGTGAAAGGAAAATAAACCATTGTTTACAAAACTTTTTTATAGACAAAAATTTTAAATAATTGTGCCATGAATATGTATTCAACCCTCTTACTCCAATAAAATGGCTATCAGCAGTCACCTAATAGTAAACAGAGTTTGTGATCAATGAGGCCCAAATTTCACCTTTTAGCCCCTATGCAAAACAAAATGTGTGGAAAAAAACGAACACTGAACATTGCTCTAAACACACCATCCCTACAGTGAAACACAGAGGTGGCGGCATCAGAAACTGGGGCTACATATTTTTCAAGCAGTAACAGCAAGCTGGTCAGAGTTGATGTGAATATAAATGGAACTGAGTACAAGGCAATCCTGAAGGAAAACCTGTTAGAGGCCGCTGAAGACCTGAGAGTGAGGTGAAAGTTCACCTTCCAGCAGGATAACCCAAAACATACAGCAAGAGTTACAATGGATTGATTTAGGCCAATGCATTTTCACGCGTTAGAATGGTCCAGTCAAAGTCCAGACCTAATTCCTGTTGAAAATCTGTAATTGCAGAAAAAGTATTGACTGAGGCTGGCTAAATACAGATGCAGAACCATGCCAGACTTTTCTTTTTTTTTTTTTTTTTTTTTTAAACAAAAACGATTATTTTCCTTTCTGTGTTTGTTTCATAAAACTCCAATAAATGATATACAAATGAATAAGTAAAAGGTTGGTGATTGAAACCTTAAAAAATGGTAAGCATGAAGACTGAATACATTTGTTACTGCAACAGTGGCTGCTGTCCAGACACACCTGCTTAAATATTAGTTTGAGAGCTGTTTTCTCTGTGTACACCATTCCTCTACAACCCACCAGAGTGGACCAAACTCCTGACTTACTGTTCCTCTAAGAGAGGAAACAGATGTGGGGTATGTCTTTCTTCTCTCTCTCACACACAAGAAACAAAACGTGTAAACGGACACATGACGCAAGGCTGAGAACTGCAAACACTTACAGAGCGGATATCCGTAAGAGTTCCGACACACATCGCCTCTTACAGAGCCTGCCTGTTTCTATCTGCAGAACCTGTCAATCCCAAGCTTCTGAAGTGGAGGAGAGGAAGTTCTTAGTGACTCAGTACTGAATGTATCTGAAGGAATGTGATGACTGAAGGGGGTTTCGTTTATCCTAAATTAGGCTTTGAAAATAAAATGCAGACTAAAGGGCACTTTTATTTCTAAATAATTCACCAGATAGATTAGCACAAAACTAGGGCCAAAACAATTAATCTGATTAATCGTGATTATTGGGATTATTGAAATAGTCGTTACCCAATTTAGTAATTGAATAATCGTTAAGTGGGGATAGAGATTCTAAAACATTTGCTGAATGAGCAACCCACTCAGAGTAGTAATTAGGCCAAACTTGTGCAAAAAATATATAAATTTTTCATTTAGGATGGAAAAACCTTCTTTGTCTTTAAATATGCTCTATCCAGAACTCAAGTGGCATAGCTTTAGCTTCTCCTCATTCAAATTCTGAAAAAATCTCCTATTAAGCAACTTTTGCTATCCGATCATTAATCATATAATCGAAAAAATAGTCAACAGATTAATCAATTAGCAAAAAAATCATTAGTTGCATCCCTAAAGCATTTATTAATTAAGAAGTTACAGCTCTTAAAAAAAACAGCTTCTGTAAGCATTAACATTTTGTATAACGAAAAAAATTATTCTCAGGCCAATTTTAAGGATGAGCGTTTTTTTGTGTGTATTTTTTTCTTTTTCCAATACAAGTATTTAAAACAAATGCATTAAAGCCAGAGGAACATCCAAAAATATTTGTGTGTAATATAGACTCTCCTCATCTGTATGTACAATACTTTTTTTTTTTTCATTCTGCATCCGTTCATAAGTTCCTGGTGTATGTGCGGGTGAATTGGGGTTGCAGGTAGTATAGGTGCAAATTACCCCGTCTGACAAGATGCGTTGTCAGAATTCTTCTTAGCCACAAATCATGCAACTTGAAACAGGGCCAGTTCTCAGGGGTTTAACACAGTGGGTAAAAGGGCTGGTGCACAGGTGCACCAGCAACAAAGGGAAATGCAAATGGCAACATGCAGATTCACACAAATGTAAAATAACAAAATTCCTTATAAGCAGAGATGCAACAGGAAATTGGCTGTTGAACAGAACTGAATGACTTGCAGCTTTATCTGCCCTGACAGATGACAGCCAATCAGGTGTTGAAAAAGGAAGTCAGTAAGAACAGAATTTTGCGGGGGATTTTTAAAGATTTTTTGTCACTAGTGGCCTTTATTGTACAGTAATCAGACAGGAAAGAGGTTGGAGAGAGAAGAGGAAGACATGCAGCAAATGGCCCGAGATCTGGAATCGAACCCAGGACAACCGCGTTTAGGACTATAGCCTCTGTACGTGGTGCGCGAGCTCTACCAACTGAGCCACCAGCGCCTGAGCCACCAGCGCCCCCTATCAACTGAGCCACCAGCGCCCCCTATCAACTGAGCCAACAGCGCCCCCTATCAACTGAGCCAACAGCGCCCCCTATCAACTGAGCCAACAGCGGCCCCAAGCACAGCATTTTAATTCTGCATTGGAGTTGTCTTGTACATCAGTGGACAGATTTGCTAATTGTTCTCGTAGCTAACTGCTACTAGCAATGCAAGCCCATAATGTAATATTTTATTTTATTAGTGAAAATAGAAAACCCTTGAATAAAATGTCACTTTCAAAGACTATTAAAGGTCAGAAGTATTATACCTATGATTAAACGTGTCCTCCGTTTTCCTCTTTGTTTTTCCAAGTCAGTCTTTTTTTTTTTTTTTATTAAAATAAAATCCCATGATTCAACATTACTTGTGAAGCGATACTGTGAAAACTGTGAGCACCATCTTGTTGTATAACGTTCATCCAAAACAGACAACACTGCTTGATAATTCTCAAAAACAGCCAAACACAGACAGCTTTGCAGAGACCACATGAGACAACTCCAGTGCTGAAGATGAGGGGTAGCAGAGAAGGTACAAGAGGAAGAACATAGAGAAAATGCAAAATGACAGGAGGTCAGGAGTCACTGACTGGCTTCAAAAGACCTTCTCCCTCCATCGCTCTTTATGTAGGCTAATCGCTTCCATCTCGCCTCCCTGAGATAGTCGGATCATTTAACCTCATTTAAGCAGCTAACAGCCGGTAATAAATTTAGCTACACACTCCTCTCACACCTCATACTATGGAAGCCTGCTCCATGAGCTCCAGCTCGCAGTGCACGGCTGCCACAGTAGATGGGAAACGACTGCCTGGACTATGTCGGCAGGGTCTCACAGCAGGAGGAAAATAAAAACAGGAACTGATAAAGTGATGGATGAGCGCACTAAAATTCTCATGTTTCTTACACTTCACCAAGACTCACTTAGAATTTCTCATCTCAAACCAAATCTGATTTCATTTAAAGAAGCAAAATATATGAGGTAGGATGACAAGCACCAAAGCTACGTTTAAAACTAAAGAGGCTACAATGGGAATAGCATGTTTATGGTATACATGTATACACAATGTGTGAAAGTGTATATAAAACTTTTTTAACCAAGTAAAATAGCTTTAACAATTCAAAAGGGTTACTTAAGATATACAACTATCATAACTATGTAACATATTTTTTTTATTATTTCTGAACAAATCTGTTGTCTTCCCCTCCTAGGCTTCCTGGATTAAAGGGTGGAAAATGTTTCTGCTGAATAAAGCCCCTGCCCCCTCATACGCCCAAACTCCTCATAATACCCTGTCTTCACAGCCAGTCGTTGTTAGGCTGGCAAGCTTGTAAATCTTGCTCCGTTTGCTCACAGAGTGTTGGATCAGTGTTAGCCGTTATCACGTGCCACCCGGCTCAGAGGCCGCTGGTGATTAAGGCTTCTAGAAAGGTCACATTAAACGAGTTAGCAACTCTGAAACAAAGGGCAGGAGAAGAAAAGGATTTTGATACCACGTCCGGTAGCACTGTCCGTGCAAGTCTTGTAATTATAATGCAGCACAGAGTGTGTTAGGGCGCAGGAACAGAGTATTGTGCCTTTATTCAATTATTCATTCCCCTTGAACATTTTCATATCAGCACAAACACAAACTTCCAAGTATTTTATTGGAATTCTTTTGTGATAGATCAACACAAAGTAGCACAAGCATGTTTTTTATTCATTTATATTTCACAAAATAATACGCCTTTGTATTGAGCCCCAAATACTCTAATACCAAAATAAAATCCAATGCAAACATTTGCCTTTGGAAGTAAATCCAGTCCAGCCTGGCATAAATGCAGCAGTTCTCTAGAGTTTCTTAGAAACAATTAGGAAACAAACAGCATCATTAAGACCAAGGAACACAGCAGACAGATCAGAGATACAGTTGAGCAATGCATCGCTCACAGAGCACTGTTCAATCATCACCTGAAAATGGAACGAATGGAACAAAAAGGCCAAAAGAGCATTAAGCAGAGAAGTAGCCTGGAGGCCCATAGTAGCAATCAGTCATGCACTTTACAAATCTGGCCTTTATAGAAGAGTGGTAAGAAGAACTGTTAGAAGAAAGCCATTAGAAGTTTCACACAACGTAGGGTACACAAAAACAAAACAGTGGGAGAAGGTGGGTCAGATGGGACCAAAATTTGTGTGGTGGAAACCAACAATGACAAAACCCGGCACACACTGTTCCCCTTGTGAAACATGGTGATGGCAGCAGCATGCTCTGGAAATACATTTCTTCAGTCAAAGTCATAAGTAAATTCAACTGAGAATCTGACATGGCTTGAAGTTCGATGTTCACAGATACCATCTACCCCATCTGACTGAAGCTGGGTTTTTTTTGTTTTAGAAGGTGGGGGGAAAAATATTCTTAATCTGTGCAAAGCTTAAATTTACAGGAAAGGTGGTTTGACAACACACTGATTCAGAGAGAGTGAATATAATGCATTATTAGTAAAGAATGTTAAAAAATTATTTCCATCCTATCCTTTTAGCTTATCAGTTATACACAACTTTATTCGGTGGATTAATAAAAAATAGAAAAAAACACCGATTTTATTTATCGGTGGATTAAATAAAATCTACCGAGTCTGTGGTTGAAACGTGACAAGATCTGAAAGTAAACAGAAACAAGTTTAAGGAGTTTGAATAATGTTGCAAGACTCTGTAGTTTCTTCAGTGGGGTGTGCTGTAAGGTGTTACTTGATCAGACTTATCACTGTCGAAACACACATTTCCTCAGGGCGACATCGGAGGCCTTGTAAGGGTCAAACACTCCTCTATGCATCTTGTGTCATGTTTTTGTGTCCCGCCCTGAACTCCTCTGTCATGCTTCTGGGAGGCCCAGTCAGAAGCTCCCATACAGTGACCTTAACCCGGCAGCGGAAATCGAACGACCCTGCACACCAGCTCCTTGTCTGTTCTCTCCCCTTTGCCTTCATTCCAAGTCAAACTCTTCCCTCCCTCCTCCTCCACATCCTTTTTTAGATGTGAAGAATGCTTCCAGCAATCTCGCAACCTCACACAGTCAGTTCCACAGAGGAGATTTGCACATGTTGAACCCCGTCCATAATTAAATGATACCTGCCAAGACCGAGATTAATCAATGCCGTAATCATTTTCCCTGCTGATAGGTGGAGCAGGTTCAGCTAATTATACATGCGGGATGCGGATCTGAATGTTCTGCATCAAGAAATGTTGCAGTCAAACCAATAAAGAAGGGAAACGTTCCTATTCCTTCTGTTGGGTGCTGAACTTTGATCTCAAGCATACTTGCTTTCTGATTGTTGCTTTCCCCGGCAACTTTACCCAATATGTATGTGCAGCCATGGACCAGTATGACAATCTTACAGTCTGATTCAAAAGAACAAAAAACACCATGGTTTCATGATGTGTACACAAAAACATCAATTAAAATATATAACATGAACTTATTTCTTGTTTAAACTAGAAAAATAATTCTTCCCCTTTCTGCTCAAATAATGTATTGAGTGCTACAGTTAAAGCAATGCTATCTATTACGAATTTCTGTATAAACAAAAGACATAGAATAAACGTGCAGATTTTAATAGAAGTCTTCATGTGCTTATTTCACAGAATAATAGCTGCTTTGTCGCACAAAAACACAAGTATAACAATTAAGTTTATCCCCACGCCACAGCATGACGGTATGTTCCCTGATTGAAAAAACTACCAAACGGTGGATTTTTTCTTGAAGGAAAAGAGTCTGAGTCAGCAGACTGCCAGTGAATAGCACCAGGTGGGGAAGGGACATCAGTGAAACCCTAAGCCTCGTGCAGCTGGAGAAAGGTCCGGACAGTCCAGCATTTTCTCTGGAATTGAATAGTAGGAATGGCAGAAATGTTTTCCAAAGCAAACCAGAAGCATTTTTTAAAACACTGGAAATAGTCGAGTTTCTCCTTCTTGTAAGAGAGGGAAAGGTGTAGTAGCCTTGTGTTGGCCAGCTGACTTGCAGTGTGCAGCAACAGGTTGAGGAGGGACAGCGGCACATTGTTCTATGTTTCATACAATTTTATTTAACAGCACTTTCAGTGGCATCCTTTTAACAGAACATTTAACTGCAGGAACAGAGTGACAGAAAATCGTACTGATTTCGAAACCGTTGCTTTTTAGAACCTCGGCATATCTTAATATTTGTAACCGAACCATGCTTATGTAAAAATCCCAGTTTACTGCCACATAATACGCCCACAAAACAAAAAAAATAAAATAAAATTGTAGAACAGACTTAATCTACAAAAAACCTTTGGCAGAATTTAAAAAAAGCATTTAGCAGCTGGGCCAGACAAACAACGCCCATCACATTACCTTTTACTTCCTGCTAAAGCTGCCAAACAGGAAGTAAACTCTTAAAAAGAGCAGCTCTTACTTTTTCCTGCAAGTGGGGCTGCTTTAAGTGATGGCTCGTAACATTGTGTTATTCTTCCTTTTTCCTCTCCTGTTCTCTCAGGAAGGAGCTCTGCTGTAATCCCATTAAGAGTGGATATCCACAGCACATGGTTGATCACATACATGTCATGCTCACCAACATTAACCTGCTCATATAATATAAAAAAAAGAAGCTAGTTTATACAAGTGTGAGTTTTTTGCAATCTGACAAAAGGAAGGGTGTGCACTGTTGACTAAAAATAGACCAACAACAGGAAGATGAGTAGAGAAAGTGAGAGATTATCGTTGGGGAAAGGAGTGCAGAAGAAGGTACCGAGATGAACTTGGCTCCCTGAGGCATGTGCGCTTTTAAAGAGTGTGTGAGGATTCGGCTTGCCTTTCCGCATGCAACATAGAAATCTCTAATCCAATTATAGTTCAGACCAGCCTAGCAGCCTAGCCTCAGCCTCCAAGGACAAATCGAGCTGGCTCCCACCAACGCCAGTAGCCCACCGGCTCTGCAGATTTAGCCGCTCACATCGGTGGATGAAAA